TACACTGTTGGTTGGCTGGAACTAGACGGAATTCTGCAAAGCAAAATAAGTCCAAGGGAGAAAGACTAGATGGTTTCACTCAAATTGGAATATAAAGAAACAAAGGAACATTCAATACTAAATAAAACAAACCCTAGAAATATGACTGCAGAATTGAGGCTATTATTGACGGAGGGTGGGAGGGAGGGTGGGAGACAGGGAGCCCAATGAATTATGGTGGAGAATTATTGGTGCTTCGGTAGTGGATATGGTGTTATAACTTACATTGAAGAGATGTGAACCTGCTCCCTAAATCATATATCATGTTGCCAATCAATGTCATCTCAATAAAAAAATACAATTAAATTTAAAATACTTTGGAAATGAGATCCAACATTTCAGCTTGTTCAAAACACAGAATATCAGTCCCACACAGTCTCCCCATTTGAGGCATGGCTATGGTTTTGGTAAGTGAATAAATCTCTCTGGACATACTTTTCACATAAGGTGAATGAAGCAATCAAACTATGATTCTGTATACACTGAGTTGAATATAAACCCCCTGTCTGATTTTAAAGAGAATTAATATAAAATTTAATGTTCCTCTTGCTTTATTAGAAAACTTGTTTTCACCACAGTATAGTCATTGTATAATAGAGTATTTGAAAAAATATATCATTTGTTTTCTTTCTAAGACCTTTGGCTAACATCAGCTCGACTACTTTTATTTTGCCCTTGAGATAGATTCACCTAAATAATATTTTCCTTGCTAACCTCAACAGCCTGACACAGTATATTACTTTTTGAGTCACTGTCCTCCTTTTCTATTCCAATATTTTCTTAGCCATAACTTTAAGAAAAAGCTTTTGTAAAGCCACATTGAATACTGCTAGCTCTTTATTTTCTTTTCTTTGGAAATTGTAAAGTATTGTAGTTCAATTACAGAGCTCTTACTCTCTGCCCTAGAGACTTGACTCCCATCTGTATCCATTTTCTTTTTTCCCTTTCTCAACTCTAGGTTGTCTTTATTTAGCGCCATGTGTGTCCCATTTAAAAATCCATGTGGCTAATTTCTTTTTATGTATTTCTGATACAGAAAGCTCTCATTTTTTTTCTTACTGATTGCCTATAAAATCATTAGCAATGCTGCCAGGCTAACTGATCATGAGAGATGATCAGAAAGGTAACCAAAATGAATGGTTCTGCTATCATTCAGTGTCTTTAAAACAAGTAGGTAGCCCCCCTTGTTTGCTAGAAAGTAAAATCACATGTTCATTAATTTTTTTTACCACTGGAATTAAGTTTAAAGAATAATTAAAAACTAAATTTTACTATAAAACAATACTTATGTACACATTTTCTAAAAATCAAATCATTCATCTAAAGATTACAGCTTAAGATTAACACATTCCACATAGGTAGTATTGATGTTCGATGCCTAGACAAGTTCTTATAACATGGACTAATATTCTTCTAACTCCAGTGCTCATAGATGCAGAGTGTACACCTCACTATTGGCTTAAATGGGCTGGATGCTGGAAGAACATCCAATCTCTTAGAAATCTAAGCAAACAAACAAAAAAATAGTAGTTGTAGTAGCAGCAACTATAATGATATTTAATAGCAATAATATTAAGCCTTTGCTATGGCACTTTATGTGCACTGATTTATTTAATCTGCACTAAATACCTAAGAATATATATTGGTCTTAATATACATATTATAGATGTGAAAACTGATTGTTAGTGGTGTTTTGTACATTTTTCAAGATAACACAGTGGTATAGCTGTAATTCTATAACAAATTTTCATCCCAGAAACAATCCATCCTTCGGAAAGAAAAATATCTGGAAAGGCAATGGCAGATAAAGTATAATTATAAAATAAAAAACATAACATATGGATCTATAGAAAGAATCGGCAAAATTTAGAAAAGTTGTTAATTTTTTCACAGCTCTGGGTAATGATACAATGAACAATTTTGACCATATTGTGTGGCTATTGAAGATATAATCTTTAATGATATAGGAGAGTCTTGATTAAATGGAACTTAGGTAACACTGATCAACTGGTAAATACATATCTTTCTACTAACATCGAGAATTTTCTTAGTCCCTCTCTCAGATAGGCATTACGTCTGTGGTCTACAGAAACCTTAGCTAAGTTTGTACTTAATGAATTTCTAGTTTCTAAACTCAAATTCCCTCTCTTGCCATAAGACACACTTTTCTTCTCAGCGCCCCAATACAATTTAGTTTCTATTCTGAATCCTGCAGTCTAAAATAGATGGTGAAAGGAATGTTATGGTGGTAAGCAGAGAAATCTAATGAAAAAAAAGGAATAAAGAAAATATCTCAATCAAAGCAAAAATGTGGGAAAAAAATTTTAAACAAAGAATGAGAAAAATATTAAATAAATATATGAAAACAAGCAATGCTTTTTCTAATGCCCTATAACCGGGGTGTTAAGTCTCTGTAGTAGTGATTCTAGATTAAAAAGTACCTGAGAAATGGGGTGAAAACAGTGAGAGATTGGCTTGCTGTTTCTTTAAATGGAAAATAGTCTGTTAAAAGGGCAAGAAGGCAATTTACACCCTGGAACAAAAGAGTATAAATCAGAAGAGTATGAATAAAACAGAAATATAAATCAATGCAGTAGGACCAGGTGGAGTTCTTGGGACTCACTTCCAGAGTCGGAGGAAAACATAACAGGAAAGAATAAACATCTTAGTCTAGCAAAAAAAAAAAAAAATATATCTACTTTTGTATGTAAATATTCTTACTATTGATCCATAGAAACGCTATTTTAAGTTTAATCACAATATACATGTAAAACCTATCTTAGTTAGCCAGCAGTCCCAAGGAATTTTGGAACACAAACATCTAACACCATTCATATTGGTTATGATTCTGACCACTGGGAGAAAGTGATTGTTGAGTAGGATGTAAGATAGGAAGAGAAATTAGGTGAAATATTGATAATAGGATTAGAGTCTGGAACAGAGATGACTAATCTGGATTTATATTCTACTTACTAATTTCTAAAATAAATTTACTTGTTTCTATATGCAAGTGTTGGGTGCAGCTATTAAATATGTTTTTAATTACTGGAATCTACAAAAGGTGCTAGGAGTATTTTTAGAATAAATATCTCTACTAGGGGGATATTATGCTAATCCTCTCGTATAAAGACACTTATTGGAAAACACTGTGAAAGGGATAATAGATTCTTCTCTTCCTCCTCTTCTCCTTTTCCTTCATCAAATATTTAATATTGATTTTAAATTAAAATCAATTACTTCCTTTCTCTAACTAGGGAACTCTTCTAAAATGAGATTTTAGGAATCTTATAAAAATGCAAGGTGAATGTTTATATAAAGTTAAAATTTGGGGAATACTCAAGTATTTGTCACTAAAAGAATCCACCTGTGTCCAGACTTTTCTCCTACACTTAGAATAAAGATCGCAATCTTAAACATTACATAAATAGGAGGGATTTAATTAAAACTTGAAGAAATGTGTTAGTGTTAATTGAATTCTTGCTACAGTTACCTTTGCAAACCTATGTTAATGAAACTCCAGTTCAAAGTGGATGGCTTTCAGAATTGAAATAGCTATTTATTTCCTTACCTGAGGTTCCATGATATATCTTCTCAGTAAAATAAAGAGCCCAGTTAGGAGAGTTTCAATTTGTAGTTATTGATCAAGTTTATTCACCGACTTCTAGGGTTTCTAAATAAAGCAAATCAGAGGTTCAGAGTCCTTTAAATGGGGTCAAGGGAGTGAGAAAGAGAAATACTTTGCATTTCAAAGCCTTTCACCTGTGGAGCAGAGAATGGGCTCGCTCTACCTGGAGCTAGGCTCTGCAAGTCAGCCAAGCTTCCAGTCCCTTCCCCCAACAGCTTGAACCTCCCAGCTTGGTATCTCTTAGTATTACCAAGCTATAAATTGCCCCAGAGCTTAGAGACAATCAGGTCAGCACCGCCCTCACAAGGGAAAAAGCTTCTTACTTCCTAGCACAATGGTTCAGGGGGAAGAGAAACAGGAGAAAGCCCATGCTTTACTGCTTTACTCGTCACTGCGCTGGCAAGGGTGGAGAGAGATGGGGGAGGGGTTCGGCAGAATCAGCACCCCCAACAATGTCGCTCTTGGCTCAAGTCTACAAACTTATTGGTCGCTGTAATGGAAACTCCCAGTGCACTCTGCACTGCCAGGCAGCTGCTGCTGCTGGGTGGAGTCATGCTCCCCATGCCCACCTCTGGGACAGCGCTTCTCCGGTCCACCGCACCCTTCAGGAAAGTCTGCAGGCATCAAACAAGGCTCAGCCCATTCTACCCCCCACCCCGCAGCTTCCACAGCTGTACCCCGACAGAATAATATCATTAGCCTCCTATATCCCAAAGGGCCACCTCCCTGTGGCTCAGTTTGAGGACACTTGTGTAGAACCATTTCGTCTCCCCGCCCTGCTCAGCTTTCACAACTCCGCTGGGTCAAATGGCCAAAGACAAACTTCTGCCTCTCCTTCCCGGCTCCCACCTTTTCAAAAATCCACAGCCGGCGAACCCCACACAGCAGAACTCCGAGAGCTCTGTTGCAGTCTGGGCATGCTCAGTATCAGAGCAGCTTTTGATTGAAAGTAAAAAAAAAAAGAAAGAAAGAAAGAAAATAGCTTTGTATTATGCTGTTTTCTTCTCGTGCATATGGCTTGCTGAGCAGGTTGTGGGGTACCCCTGTGCCTACACAGAGGGTTCATTGCATGTCCTTGATTGGGTCTCCTTGGGATCTGTCCCCCTCTTAGTTCATCCCCTCTTCGACCCCCCCCCCTTCAGGTCCCTGTCCGCTGTGGGGATGGAGAGACACTAACAGAACTGGGATGGGCGATGTTGGCTGAGCGGATCCACCTATTATTAGTGCGTCCGGATTGGCTCCTGGGCGCAGCGTACCGGAGGTGGAACCAATCAGGCAGCCTGGGCTGGGAGATGCTGGGCGGCCGCCTCCTCACTGGAGGGATTCCTGGAGAAGCTGCAGTGTGGGGATGCTCTAGACCGAGTACAGCCCCAGTGTCTTTCCACCTCTTCTCCCTGCAGTGGCAGCAGCTGCAGCAGCACTTAGAAGCAACTTGAGGCTACACCCTGGGCCAGCCCCCCAGGGTGGTGCTCTGTTGAGAGGGGGGCTCAGCGCCCCGGAGGGGTGTGTGTAGGGTGGGGGCGGCCAGCTGGGACCAGCTGGTGGCCCTGGAAAACCTCCCACACACCCACACCCACACACCCCTTTTGTGTTGCAGGCTGCCCCTCCAAGAGCAGAGGCAGCGAGAGGACGTGTGCCTCACGCCCGGTCCGCAGCAAGAGCAGTGGAGACCCAGACCGGCACCACCTCCAGATCCTGCCTCCAGGTAAGACAGCCGGACTGGGACTCGCTGCGCGGCCACCTCTGGGGTGCCTATTTGCTTGAATCCGTGGGCTTGATAGTCTTCTAGGTGCACTTGGATTTTGGTAGTGGGAGACAGACCTGGGGAGGGAGCCCCGGGTGGCCTATTGTGAGAAATAGAATAAGACCACATGTGCATCTCTTGGAAAAGCACTTTGCACAGCGCCTGTGATTTAGAGCCTGGAGTTAATGTTTGGCATCCCCCATCTTCTTGCTCCCTCTTTCCTTGTCTAATTCTCTCTCCTCCGTCCCCCGCCCCTATCCCCTCTCAGGCTCTCTTCACTCCTCGCCTCCTTAATCTTTCTTTTATCTTCACTCTCCTCCACCCTAATCACGCACTAGGTTTCCTTTTCTCCTAGAGAGGATTGCCTTTTCTCTGAGGGAAGCATAGGGGGTGGGGGTGCAGTGGAAGAGGTAAAGAAAGGAGAATTTTTTTTTCTGCCATGGGAGGGGGGAAACAAGATAAAATACAACCTTTGTGGAAATTAGAGTACAGAAAGCAATTAAACTGAATAAGGAGAGTAGACAACCTTCCAGCCTGGGCTGTCAAAGAGGGGAAGCATCAAGTTTGACTTGTTCTCCTTGCAAGAGCTATGTCTCTCACTTGATTTGTTCAAATGGAACAAAAATAAACCAACAATCTAACCCACTTTCAACTGCTTAATTGCTGTTGCTTTTAAGTGCCAACCATCTGACTACTCCTGTTTCCATCTGTCCTGTGGGGCTGACTATTTAGTATTGCACATCAGTGGTAATGGCTGAACTTTGAGGGATTTCTCCAGTAAAGAAAAAAAAAAATTAAAAACAGATTAGTACTTTCCTGAGGTTCTCTGGTATGGTCTTTAGGGTGGGGTGGGAGCAAAAAAAAATGAGAAGTTTCAAAACATGTGACACCACTATTATCAGGAGGCTTGGATTTCTACTTTGAGGAAACTAATCTTCCTTCTAGTTAGCTTTGTGTACATGTTGATTTTCACTTTGAGTATTAACCTCTTGGTGAGATAAAGAAACCATTTAACTTTTGCTTTAAAGCTCTATTTGCACTGAATTGTCATTTCATTCTATCTTTCCACTATCTGTTTGTATTTAATTGCCTGAACGTCAAATTCATGCCTCACCTTGTTTTATTTTAATAACAATATCCAGTTGATGTAAACATGATTTTGATTCAGTTTCCCTTCTTCATTTACAAGGCACATGAGAGCTCAGTTGGCCAAGAATTCTCTTACACGGGCACAAAGTTTAGAAAGTAATGGTAGGATGATAACCTCAAATTTCAAAAAAATCTTAAAGAGAAAAAATATTTTTGTTCCTGCATCTTAGAAGAGAAAAGATAAACAACCATGTGTCCTGGCTGCCTGCATAATAGGTCAAGGAAAAAGTACTTGTTGGACAGAGCCTTCACGGCATCTTCAGCAATTTCTAATTCCATCATCAGTGATATAAGCTTTCATTTGCTGTTATTCATCAGAGACAGCTAAGCCATTACTGTCAGGTGGAAGAAGGTAGCTCCTCGTTGAAATGCATGTGTGTCCTACATGAGTTCAGGGAAGTCAGTAGATTTGAATGTCCAGATAAATCCTTTCCTTTTATCTGTGAGGGGAAATGCTGTATCTTAGTTTTATTTCTTACATGTCTACTTGGGATAAGAATAAATAATTCTCTTTCTCAACTCTGTCTGACCTTCCCTATTAATTTGTATACCCCAGAAAACATTTTTTCAACATGCATGTTAGTGCATAAGTTTATACACCAACTTGGAGAATATGTTGGATTCATTCATCATTGATGTATTCTTAATCATTTTTCATTGGAGGTAATTTTCTTTTCTATCTGAGTAAAACTACCTGGAGTCACAAATACAAGAATTCCTTCTAGGGCTTTGACAATTAAATGCCTTTTTAAAATGTAATATATCTGTTGAAAGCTAACTCTAGTTTTTAGAGGTGCCACCTTTTGGTTACAAGGACAAAAGGACAATCACTTAATTGCCTCGTGTGTGTATAACTGAATTAACAAGTTCAGACATGAAAAGATGTACAAAAAAGAAACCAATTGCTTTCCATGTGAACTAAATAAGATTTTGCTTATTGCTCCATGGTCTTAGGGAAAGGAAAAAGTTTGGGCTTGGTTTGTGACATTTATTTTCATGACTCTTTAGAAATGTTATTTATAGCAATGACTTATGAAAGAGATGTATGTGAGTATTTAGTTTTTCACATATAAAGAAAATCTGAGCCTTTATATACTGGAAGTCAGAACTATTTCCAATACATAGTGAGTGGATTGGGATAGACTTAAAATGATGTATTATAGAATTTTTAAACTGTCATCCTACAAAAATGTTCTAGTGTAAGAATTTCATACAGTCTTTATCTGGTCTCCTTTTAAAAGACTGTTTTAGTAAATCTTATTACCATTTCAGAGCAAATATGTAATTGAACTTCAAGGTACTTTTGTGAAAACTAAAGATTGCTACTCTGCAGAGGAAATCCTAAAATACTAATTCCACAAAAAATTACACAGAAAAAAAGAGTTACTGCAGGACAGTTTTGAACTTCCAGTTCATATTGGAGAATATTAGTTATTCCACTGGTCAAATAATCATATAGTTCTTATCAAGAAATATGAAAATGAGCAACATGATATTTACATTATAAGATTTGCATATTAGGTTTAGTGCTAACTGAAAATAAAACTAAAAATATATTGTAACTTGTCTTAATTATTTGCAAGACTGGAAGATTGATAAAAAGGAGATGGGTTAGAAATCTGAAAGTTAACTTGAACTTCCTATTAGCATAATGACACCATGACATAATTTATGCGTTTCAAGATTACTGTATTAAATCAATTTTAGAATAAAGTCCCAAAACAGATTTTTAGAGCCGGCCAATTTTAGAAAATTCACACATAACATAGACAATTGTATGAGCTCAAAATACTTCTAGCTGTTGTGATTTCCAGTTTGTGCAATAGACAGTAAGAAATATCATTAATTCCAAATTAGAACATAATATTTCTTTACCTAATAGCAGTAATGAAGTGATTTATGGGAGGGAAAGCAAAAATAAACAGTTTGATTACATAATGAAACAAATTTGGTCTAATATTACAAAAAGCAAGACCAAAATTAGAATTTCTGCCATAGTATAATATAGATCTTATAGTCAAAAATTAAATAACTATTCCACATTTTATTTGTTTTCAATTTATAAATGATTTCATAATTGTCATAAATACATTTGTATCAAAGTCATAGATAAGAGCTACTTTCTGGTTGAATTTGTTTTCTATTGAAATTGACAAACGCTGTTTGAATAGGAATAAACCATATGATAGTCAAAAGTAATAAACTATTTCAACTGGCATTAAGAATATATATGTGCAGATATGTATATATACATGTTTTAAGATTATGTAACTTTCTAAAAAGATTAGATTAAGAGACAGTAGCTGACACTGGGGAGTATCCTGTAAAAAGTACCTTTCAAAGAAAAATGATAATGTGTATGCTTTTTAAAATAATTCTTTAGTTGAAAGACTAAGAATAAACAAAGGGAAAATTAATGAGAGTTTAGATCTCTCCCTTTTAGGACTTTAGGAATAAGTGTTTTTGTATGACTCATGAATAAAAAATACTCATAGTCTAAGAAGATGCACTTCTACATACAGGTAAATTGAAATCATATTTTCATTTGATTTGGACATAACAGGGTGATAAAATTTCTCTCTTTCTAATGCTTTTATTGGTTGTTTCTTAGTGTTTGCCTAAAGGTAAACTTGTTCTTAATCTTTTACATAATTGAGTGGCATAATTATCACTGCTTTTTTAGATAGGTGGATATAGATTGGTATCTTTTACTCCACTAGGAATAATCAGTATTTTTCATAGTATTTTTGTAAACTTGATTCAGATCTCTCCATTAAGTATGCTTATTTTTTAAAGCACAATTTTGATCTTTTTCACTTTGAAGGAAATAGTAGTTTCTGTCATTTTAAGGGAATTTTCCAAGAGTACTTTTATATTGACTATCAGATAAACTGTGGTAGCAGAGTATATGAATGTCATTTTACTCAAGTCTTAGTAATAGAATAATGTACCATAAATATATTTACAAAATGATGTAAAATAGCTATTACAAATAAGAGAGCTTCTTGTCCTTCTATATGTAAATAATACCCTAAACTTTGCTGTTTTTTTAAAAAAAGCTTAAAGTGTACAATGAAAAATATTGTTATCCTATAGAAATAGTAAGCACCAAGATGCTATTTAAATACAATTTTAAAGGTCCTATTGCAAAGAAACTTCCTTATAAATTATCTAGGGTTGTTTAATTTGAAAACATTTAAAAGAGTTCTAAAACAAGAAAGCCTGTTAGTCAAATTAGCATATTTATGATAATGTTAGAAATAAATTTATGCCACATCTTTGAAAAATACATTTATTTTCAAAAATTTGTCTCTCTGATTTTCATAAGTTTTATGTCTAGTGAGACTACAGGTTGTAATTGTTTAGAACTAGTTCTATTTCCTTTGGTTTTGCTTTATACGAGTACCAATGCTTGGGAAGGATGTGGCATACAGGTTTGTAAAATGTACTTTTAATAACTGAAGAGGTCAAAGTTCATCTTTTTTGGTTACTGCTATCATGGAGATAAAGAGGAAAAATATGGGCCTTCCTATATTAGTCTCACGTACAGTCTATTGTACATATTGTAATATAAGGGATGATTTTGTTAGAGAGGGGTTCTGGAAATTTATAAAGCAGATGAAAGTAATAAATACTTTCCATTTCTTATCTATTTATACAAAATGGAAACTGGAAATTTTCCATGCAGAATGAAAATGGCCTTTTTAAACAAGTATAAGAATCTGGTGAAACTGTTTTAGTATATGATTTCCTATCTTTCCTGCCAGCCCTGGCAAAAAAACATTTAATTGGACAAGGCAGATTGCAACCAT